ACCATCTCCAACATAGTAGCCGGCACCACTGGCGCTGCATCTGGCCTCCTGTCCATCCTTGGTCTGGGTCTGGCACCTTTCACAGCAGGGGCCAGTCTGGTACTCTCAGCTGTTGGAGCGGGGCTGGGAGCAGCATCTGCTGTGGCCCAAGTGTCCACCAGCATCGTGGAATACTCAAACGAATCATCCGCAAAAGCCCAAGCCAGTCACCTGACATCAACTGATTTTGACAAAGGGAAGGTAGTTGCCAAGGTTCTGTGTGATACCATACCCCAAATTAGTTCCTTAGCAGGTAAAAGCGTCCAAGCCCTGCAAAACATTGCCAAGAATGTTCGTGCCATCAAGCTAGCCAAAGTCAAACCTCGCCTAGTAGTCAATGCCAGGCGCTTCATGACAGCTCAGAGAATCTCAGCTCGAAGTGGCAGGCAGGTGCAGAAAGCTTTTGGAGGCACTGCTCTGGCAATGACCAAAGGAGCCCGGATCATGAGTGGGGCCTTATCAGGTCTCTTCCTTGCGATGGATGTGGCCAACCTTGTGAAAGACTCAGACCACTTGAAAAATGGGGCAAAGGCCCCTTCAGCTGACGAGATGAGGCAGCAGGCCCGGGAGCTGGAGAACAAGTTGGAGAAGCTCACCAAGATCTGTGAAAGCCTGAAGGAGGACCCGAATCCATGACCCCTGAGCAGGGCAGGGAGCAGGGACATGTGTGGGACAAAGACATGGAGGTACCTTATTAGAGGGGAAAAGAGGGCAAAATAAAGAATTCGGATTCGGGTGTTGAGGAGTTTGGTATTTCTATAGCTGAGCCCAGTGAGGGAGGGGTTAATGCAGATGGCGGGGTTGGACAAAGAGAGGAAGGAACATGGAACCTGGAATAAGGAGGGAGGGGGCTAGAGAGGGAGGGGACTGGACTACAGAGGACACAGGGGACACGAATCAAGAGAGGCGTGGAGGAACAAGCGATGGGAAGGCCAGGAATAATGAAATTAGAATTGTTGGAATGTGTGAGAAGATGATGGGTTTGATCTTGTCATCTTTATACTTAGTTCTGAGCCTTCCTGAAGCTGACAATTGCTACTCTGGGAAGGATTTGACCACCGATCTGAGCAAAGACAGATAGCGTTGTCCACTGTGATGCTGGCAGCCTGGTCGCAAGTGACCCCGACCCGTGGCTCCCAGCCACGTCCCACGAGTGACCAGGCGCCGTCAGTGTGGATGCAATCCCCTTAGATGTCTGTCTCCCCCAGCCACTCTGATGACTTCAGAAGTCCCCAGTGTCCTATGTCCAGTTCCCAGCCACCCCCCACTGTCCCTAGACAAGGGGAGACCCAGGAGGTGGGGTCCCTGCTCTGAAACACAAGTCATAAGGTCCAGCATGTGAGCCAAGCCCACGTCCCCCTGGGATGGAGAGACTGGGTGGGGGCGCTGGTTGTGTGTCCCCGTCTGCTGACTCTCCCAGCCTCCACCTGATGATGCTGAGGCGTCTGCCAGACTCCTCCCTCAGCAATGTGAGGGTGACTTTCCCACTGAGGTGGGGTTGCCTTCCCAGTGGGCTGAAATGGCTTATTGACCAAAGATTTTGCCGAGACCCCCGACTCTGGAGCTGTGGTCATCCTGGGTGACTTTTCTTGGGATCCTCGGGGGTCAAGTGGAGCCGTATTTTATAGTCCCTAGATCTTTAGGGTCCCCAAGTGGGGTGGACTCGGCACTTGTCCCTGCAGTCCAAAGATGCCTAATCCTCACCTGACGTGTCTGCAGCCCCATCCTGGTTGCTCCACCGCGGGGCTGTGTTCCTGGAGCCCGTCGATGTCCGGAGGCCATTCTGCATGGGCATTAGACCATCGGGCCGCAGGTCCTATGGACGCTGCATCGCGTTCTGCATCTCACAGTGGTTTCATCGGGTGTCACGCCAAGGGCGTGCTAGGGAAAGGGAGAAGAATCAGGAGGAAGGGAGGCTACAGAAAAAATGACCAAGAAGTAACCAAAGAAGGAGAGGTGGACACAATAGTACTTTAACCACGTGTCAGAGGGCACAATGTCAACGTGGCCTTGAGTTTTGGCTCCTTCCCTGAGTTGCTGGACCAAAGCCACCACCTATCCCCTCACCTGGCTTTCCCCATCTGCAAATTCAGCCCGAGCTCCCAGCCCACCCACAGGGTGATCATCACAAACCATGGGTGCGATTCTTATGTCATCATTCCATCACTCTGTCCCTCCCTCACAAGCTGGCGGAGGAGCCTCGATGCCCCAGGGACATTTGCCCGGATGGAAGGGTCAGGTTGGCTTCCGTGTGCGCAGGGGCAAAGCCCACAGCCGTCCAGCTGCTGCACATCTCACAAGCCGTGGGACCCTTTCCCCGCAGCGTCTCTATCTGTGCAGGGGGCAGGTATCTCCTAGGGCCTCTGTGGGAACCAGACGGGGCTGCGTGGACGGGGCCCGCACGGCACCTGGAGCACACTCAGCTCTGTCCACGGCGGCTGCTCTGCTCGGGGCCCACGCGGGCGGGAGGCCTCGCTGGCTGTTTCCATTTGCTGTTTCCTGACGCTAGCCTTCCTAGAAAAGTCCTCCTTTAAAGAGAAAGAGATCTGTCGTCAAGCAGAAACGAGTGGGGTAGAAAACAGCAGTGTTTCCTGAGCCCTCTCCCGCAAATGTCTACATCCTTGCAAATAGCACTTGGCCACCAAGGGCGGGCCTCCTGGGGCTGTCCCGACATCCGGGACAAGGCTAGAGAGACCTGATTAGATCCAAAGGGGTGGGGGGAAGACACGGACAGGTGTCCCCAGCAGGGATTTCAGCCCCTCCCCCAGGTGCCATGGGAGCAGAGTAGGGCACAGGGACTCTGCCAGGGAGGGTGCTGGGGGGCTTCTGAGAGGAGGTGATGCTCGATTTGGGCTTTGAAGTATGAGCATGATTTTTCCAGGTGGTAGGAGCAGGTGCTCCTGGCAGAAGGATCTGCATCAGCAAATGCCTAGAAGCCACGTGGGTGTGGCATTGAGCGGCTGCAACATGGCAAGTCTGCTGTGAGCACCTGGTGTGTTTGGGGACAGGAAGTTGAATAAGGCAGGCATGCGGGGGAGTGAGGTGGGAGGGACAGAGAGGAGGGGGCTGGGAACAAGCCACCGGGGGGTCTGCGGTGGGGAGTCGTTTGCTGAGGGTCCCACAGTCTATCAGTGGCAGGAAGGGCAGAACAGAGAAGGACCCAGAAGGTCCTTTGAGGGAGTCAGGACAGCTGAGGTGGGTAGGACGACTGGACCAGCCCCGTCCAGGTGTGTGGTTTCATCACAGGCTGCTTTCAGTCTCCCTTTCAGGTCCCAGACGTATTTGGGCCCCGAGGTGTGGTTACTGCACAGACTCATAACCGGGTCCTCACAGCTAAGAACGACTGGATGTGCTTCAGCTCAGTCAGAGGAAGATCCCTGGGTAAGCTGGGAGGGTAGGGGCCCCAGCCCATCTACTCACCCTCCATACAGCTCTTTAAGGAAAGATCCTGTGTTGTCTCGATTTTGTAGATGAGGGTGAACCTGAAGCTCCAGCCCCAGGTCCCAGGGCTTCCCCCCTCTCCCTGTGCCCCAAAACAGTGGAGAAGGATGGAGGCACTGCCCAGCCCGGGTTCCAGACTGCCTGCGACCTGAGCAGGCTACCCCAGAAGGAAGGCTGATGTTGGTGTGCTCATCCCTTTGGGGAATTGGGAGGATGCAGAGCAGGGGAGGAGGGCAGGTGAGTCAGAGCCTCTGGGTACCCCAGGGTGAGACTGCCAGGCTGACCAGCAAAGGGTTTCTGTTGAGATGCAAAGGCTCACGTTGTCTTTTGAGATACAAGGACTCAGGGTTGTGTTGCCCACAGTGTCTCTGAGTGTCTGCTCAGTGCCAGGCCCTGCAGGGAAACTGAGGGCCTGATAGGGAGTGACTGGCCCAGGGTGCCATGACCGTGACCGTGACCAGGAGACAGAGCAGGGAGATAGAGCAGGGAGATGTCTGGGCTTTGCTCCCTGTCCCCCACCGGGCCCTGTGTTCCACCCACTGTAGGGCAGGAAGTGCAGAGGCAGGCCTGTGTGCCTGCAGCAAGAAGAGAATGGCCGGAAGTGAGAAGGGCCACGCTGTAGCGTGGTCCAGGCTTTGAATCTGAAAACACAAAACTGTAGACTGCTGGGGTGGAGGATAAGGAGGGGAGCTTAAAGCTGTGTGTTTCCGCCAGCAGAAGTAAACCTAGAAGGCTTTGGATTGTTAAAGTCACCTTTCTCCCCAAACACTTGCGTCACAAAGCCTGGTCTACCCTTCGGCCCTGCCTGCGCCCACCGTGGACCGTGACTCTGGGTGAGTCCCTACGCTGGGGATTCTTTGTTCACATATCTTAAGAACTTGCTTTCAGTCTTTTTATGTTGATTCATAGGATTTGTCGTGTTCTGTGTAACTCAGCTTTTGTCTGCTCTAAGTTTGGAGGGTGCTGCCTCCTGGCCTCTGGCTGTAGTCTGACTCTGTTCATGGTGTCCTTTACAATTTTTATTTTATGTACTTATTTAAGAGTTTATTTATTTATTTGAGAGAGATAGAGAGGAGGAGCAGGGGGAGAGGGAGAAGCAGACTCCCTGCTGAGCAAGGACCCGATGCCGGACTCGATCCCAGGACCCCA